ACTTTACTTAGGTCACCCAGTGAGGACAGGGCACTGTCCCGAAGAAAATCAGGGACCTACTAGCAGAAGGGGCTGAGCTGGCCGACACCACCACATGCCCTCGGTACCTGGCCACGCCTTCCCCACCTGTCTGCAGGGGCTGCTGCAGTCCTGTCCTTCCTCAAATGCTAGTCAAAATGTCACCCTTAGGATTGGAGCTTGGGATCGCTGAGGCTACCTGCTTACCCCCATCTCTAATCCAGGGGCATCCCTGGTCTAAGGAGACAAACTGGCGCAAGGTTGTTTTTGGGGAGGCTGATGGTGTCTGTCTGGTTGGCACAGTGGGGGCATGAGGAGCGGGTGGGCAGACGGACCCCATCCGCCTCAGTCAACATGCTGCCTTCTCTCTTACAGCTGGGCATTTGGCTCCAACTCCCTCCCCATAGCTGGCTCTGTGGGGATGGGGGTGGCCCGGCGGACCCAGCGGCAGTTCCCCCTGCCTCCCCGGGCCCTCCCACCCGGCAGGATGGGCCTCCTGAGTCCTTCAGGCATTGGGGGTGTCTCCCCCCGACATGCCCTCACCAGCCCCAGCCTTGGGGGCCAGGGCCGACAGGTAAGCAGGCTCTGAGGAGAGGGGCTGATACTTCAGGGGTGGGTAGGAGGGCATGCGTGCTCATGTCCATGTCCCCCAGCATAAGAGGGAGGACATCCTGTGACCAGTGCCTCCACACCTGGGCCTCTGCGCCCTCACCAAGGTCTCCTCATTCCCCGCCCCATGCAGAACCTGTGGTTTGCCAACCCTGGAGGCAGCAACAGCATGCCCAGTCAGAGCCGCAGCGCCGTGCAGCGCACCCACTCACTCCCCGTCCACTCGTCGCCCCAAGCCGTCCTCATGTTTCCTCCAGGTGAGGCCCGCCCGCCCCACTGCTTGAGCACCTCCGCCCGCCACCCTGCACCCACCTGCCCAGGCTGAGTCTTCTCAGACGCTTGGTTTTCCTTTCCCTCTGTTTCCATGTTCTCTCAAATTCTGCCTCCTCCCTCTGGCTTTGAATCTTCTTGTCTTCCTCCCTTCCCCAGTCATCTCCACATCTCTCCTTCTGCATCTCCTCATCTCGGCAATTGTGTGAATCTCCTCAGTAGGGCAGGGGGTGGGCATAGCCATGAGGTTTCTGTAGGGGAAACCCTGACTGGCAGGGCCAGGCCAGTCCACAGCAGTCCTTCCGAAGACCATGAGCACGTCAGAACAGGGGGCCTCGGCTCTGCCTCATCCTCTCCTCAGCCCAGCCCAGGGATAGGGTGTCTTCAGCAGCCTTGAGCACCCGTCCTGCCTGGCCCAGCATCTCCAAGTGAGCCCTGGCCTTGTGCTGGGCCCTGGAGGCACAGAGACAGCTGGCCAGCTGCCTCTGGAAGAACCTTTAGACTTACTGAGGGCCCAAAGCCCGCCTCTGAAATGACAGCTGGTTGCGGGCACTGCACTGCTGGGGGACTGGGACCCAGCCTGTCACGCCAGTCTCAACACAAGGCCAGGCACCTGTCAACTGCTGTGAGGTGGGGGGCGGTCAGCTGCCGGACAGAAGGGGAAACACTCTTGCTGCCTGCTTCTCCCACTTGCTGGATGCTGCCAAGTCACTTCCAGCTCCTGCCAGCCAGCCACACACACGCCCTCTCCCCCTCCCGGCGGGTTTTCTTGGTGGTGGTCTGTAGACAGCAGAGGCTCAGTCTTTCTCCCATGAGCCACTGGGTGGCTTTGAACCACCCACTTCTCTGTGAGCGGCTGAGTACTTAACCACAACAAGCTGAGGCTCAGAGAGACTGGCCCAGGTGTGTTTGTCTTTAAATGTTTTTAAGAAGGTGAGGCATCCTGGTGGATGGCTAATTGGGTGGGTTATGGTAAGAAGTCGGGCAGGGGAGCTGGGGAGAACCATCTAAAGCCAGGGGAGACTCACCCTTCATCTAGCACTGGGGAGCCGAGGCTGTGGCCAAAGCTGGGTGGACTGTATCCTCCCTAAGACCCTGGCAGAGGCAGCTGGAGGACCAGTTTCCTGCCTGCAGCCTGGGTTTTCCCTATGGACCCAGAGAGCAACTCCAGGGGGGCGGGGCCATGCGGTCTTACTTAAGCTGCTATGCCAAGGACTAGACAAGTCACTAGTCAGGGACGTGGGGCAGAGGCCCAGACCGCACCCGAGATGACTGGAGTGTCAGCCTTGGTGGGGACCCCAGGAAGCCCCCTCTGGCCTTCACACCACTTCCCCTGCCTGCCAGCAAGGCTTCCTTGGCCAGCCCTCTGCCCTGGCCTGTCTCCTCCACCTGCTTCGTGGTACACCCAGGTCTTGCCCCTCTGCTTTGTCCTCTGCTATGGCAACATGATGGGTCCAGGGTGCACTGTCTCTGTCTCTTTTGCACATGCTTCCTCTCAGCTGAGCCCAGCCCCACCCTCCCCATCTCACCGTCTTCCTGGCTCCCCTTGCCACTCCTCTGCAGCCAGCACCCTCTCCTCTCTCCGTGCAGACTGCCCGGTCCCTGGGCCTGACCTGGAGATCAACCCCACTCTGGAGTCCCTGTGTCTGAGCATGACAGAACACGCCTTGGGTGGTGAGCATCTCCTCTTCCCCTGACCCAGCAGCTTCATCTCTGAACTGAGCAACTCAGTCAGTCGTCCTGAGGGGGGCCCAGGGGAGGCCAGACTCCGGGAGGGGGAGGGCCTGGCCGGCACCACAGACTACCTGAGCATCTGTCTGTGGAGCCCCCACAGCTCCTGATCCTCCTCCCTCCCTCCCTTTCTCACCACAGATGGGACAGACAAAACCTCCACCATCTGACGGGACCCACAGCCCAGCGCACCCCTAGGCTCCCTGGGCGGTGGGCGGGGGCCAGCCCCCAACGGGCTTCTCGGCAGCAGCAAGAGGGGGGGGCTGGCTGGACTATACATTCTGATATTTTTCTACTCTTTCACCCTGTTAACTCTTGTTTAACATTGCCACCGCCTTGGTCTTCCCAGGCCCACTGCAGGGTCTCTGCTGAGGGCAGGAAGGGGGCGTGGGAGGCAGCCAGAAAGGGGGGGCCGGAACAGGCAGGGACTGGCCAGCCTGCTTACCCCTTCTTCCCTCCCTCGTCCCCCACTCATCTGGCCCAGGCCCACCCTGGCTGCCTCCAGACCACTGACCACCTGCCCCTCCTCAATGGAGCAGGTCCCCCGCCCTTCCCCACTTCCCAAGACAAATGCCCACTCCCTGCGGGAGGGCCCCCCCTCCCCCCCGCCCTCCCCAGCTCAGAAACCTGGCCTTTGGGAGATGGGAGTGGCTGAGAGCCCCTCTCTCTCCTCCTACTTCCTCTTCCCTAGCCCCCGCCCCCCTCTCTCTCACCTCCTTTGGCCCTGTTTATCAGAGGTTCGCAACCATTAATTTCATAGGCCTATTTAAGATACATATTTATATAGTTCCTTAACGGTTTTTCTCTGGTCATTCCCTCTCATGTTTAGAATCCCCAGGCCTCTCTCTGAGCCAAGTCAGTGGCAGGGGGTGCCTGAACTTTACCAGGGGAGAGGGCAGAGCCCCCTCCTCCAAACCTCCCTGAGCCCCTCCAGACCCCCTGCCCTGGCCCCGCTAGATGCAGAGGCTGAAGGCGGGGAGCTGGGCTAGCCAGTGAGGTCAGGAAGTCTGTTGCCTTAACGTTCCCTGCCCCTCAGCCCACACCCCTTCTCTCCTTCTAGGAGTGGCTGCTGAGAGCCCTTGTGGAGGAAGGGGGTCAATTTGGGGAAAGGGAACTGTTTGGTTTGGGGTTTCTCCCCCACCCCCCATTATGTCATGACCTCACTTGGGTGGAACACTATAGAAGAGCCCCCAGGCTGTCCTAGCCCTGTCACACAGGCCTCTGATCCCATCCCCACTGAGGGGTGCTTCTAGAGACATAGGGGTCCAGATGGGGAAGCCAGGGTCTCCCCTTCCTAGCTCCCTGTTCAACATCCCTCCTCCCCACTGGGACATTCTCAAGCTTTTCACACCGAAAAGGAAAAAAGTTATTTTTAGATACATTTTATGAATAACTTTTGTTATGAATATGGCTGGTAACCATTGTGTATGTTATTAAAGATACAAAATGTTGGGAAAAAACCAAAAAAATAACAAAAAAAAATGTAAACCCACCACCTTCCCTGCACCCTCATTCCTAGCCCCCTAGCCCTCCTTGTCCCACCCTCCTGGTCTGTGGCCCTCCCCCAGCTCTTGCCCAGGGAAGGGGAGAAGCCGGGGCGGGTGGCTCTGGGGACCTCCAGGTCCTCGCCTCCTCTCCCAGTGCCGGGCTGGGTGGGGCGTCAGGGTTATTTATGTACCTCTTGCACACTCATCAACCTATGCAAGCCCCCCACCCCGGCCCCTCCATGTTTCTGTGCCTTTGCTCATTCCCCCCACACTCCCAGGGCACCTCCAGCCCCCCTCCCGCTAGCGGCCCCCCCTCCCCAGATGCTGGAGGGGCAGGGGCCACCTTGTTTGCTAGCAACAGGGTATCCCTCGTAGGGGACCGGCACCTCCCTCCAGCCGGTCCCATCCTGCACACTAACCGTCAGGATGGGCTGGCTTGGCACCCCAGGGAGGGCGGAGGGACATCCCCCACCCAACAGGAGACCAGAGCTGGCCCCAACCCATCATCCCTGACAGCAGAGTGCGCAGGACGCAGGCGGCCCCACTCTGATGGGCAGGACCCGGTCCCTCCCCCAGCCCTGCCCGCCCTCCAGACTTGGCCCGTGCCCCCCCCCCCTTGCCCCAGCCCCATTGGCAGAATCAGCTTTGAGTAACTGTACGGTTTTGCGCGCTGTTGAAGAAGACTTATTTGTTGGAGTTTCACTTGTTAATGGTCTGGGCTTATTTTGGAGAAAAAAAAAAAGAGAAAACTAAAACAAGGATTCTGACCTTTGTTCCGCTACATTTGACAGCCCAGGGCTCTGCCCCTGGGTCTTCGCTGGGGACTTTGACCATGGGGGTGGGGGATGGGGGTGTGTGTGGAAATGAAGCTATGGGAGCTAGAAGGCGGGGAGAAAAGTTCCCTTTATTAACAGCAAAGGTGGGGGCGGGGTGGGAGCAAACAAAGCCAAGAGCTTACACATTGACCACAAGACGAACACTTTGGTGACCACCCAGCCCTGGGAACCAGCCACTCAGTCACTGTCGCTGTCCGCATCACTGGAATCCGAAGGTGGGGCTTCACTGCCATCCTCCTGGGCCGAGTGCTCACTGCCACTGGGGAAGGGGCTGGCGCTGCGGCTCCGGCTCCGGCGGCCACCCCCTTCACTGCCACTGTCCGAGTCATTGTCACTGCCCCTGGCCCGTCCTCTGTCGTCCTCATCAGAGTCGGCGTCATCCTCTGAATCAGCGTCACTGCCAAAGATCTCCTCCTTGTCCCGAGCGGCCCGGGCCTCGTCCTCGCTGCTCTCCTCGCCGCTGCCACTCTTGTCACTGGCCGCCTCCTCCCGCTCACCTTCCTCCCGCTCGCTCTCGCTGCCTGAGCGCTCGTCCTCACTGCCCTCCTTCTCACTGCTGCTGCCCTTCTCCGGCTCTTCATCTACGAGGAAACCAAGGATGAGGGCCGAGCTCCCTGCACACGCCCCCTCCTGGCCCCAGGTGGCCTAGCTCCGACCAGCTTACCTGAGCCCCCAGCAATTTTCTCCTCTGCCTCCATCTCCTCCTCTTCTTCCTCCTCAGGCTCGTGGTTCTCCAGCTGAGCTTTCCGTGCCTCCTGCAAACAAAGGGAGTGGGGGTTGTCACTGTCTCTGTCCCCTAGTCACCCCCACCGTCCCATGGGAGCCTAGGATGGTTACCTGAGCTTCCAGCTCCTTCTCATTCATGTCCCGGTGTTTGACCACAAGCAGGGCATTGGTGCCAGACTGCACCCCAGCCTTGGCCCGACGCTTACTGAGGCGGAC